CTCTATTCCCCCCCCCTTACTCAAGTCAGAGGGGGCCGGCTGTTTGATGCTGCAGCCGCCGGACCGGGTAGCAGCCTCGCCGGTCCGGCGGCATTCCTCTCACTAACACTGAAGGAGGAGGAGGAGGAGGAGCATGTGTCTGTCAGGCTCCTTTGCGGTTCCCACATCCTGTGCTGGGAATTGTGGGAACTGCAGGGAGCATGACAGACACATGCTCCTCCTCCTCCTCCTCCTTCTTCTTCAGCGTTAATAGGAGGAATGCTGCCGGACAGGCGAGGCTGCTACCCGGTCCGGCGGTTCCAGCATCAAACGGCCGGCCCCCCCCTCACAGTGTGCCACCGGGCCGGCCACCCGGTGGCACCTGCAGTCCCCAAATGCCGCCCCCAATCCAGCCCTGCCGCCGGGCCCCCTGGCGGCGGGCCCCCCTCCCGGCCGGGCCCTCGGACCATGTCCGAAGTGCCCGACCGGTCAGTCCGCCCCTGCTCCAATTAGCTCTTGGAGATGTCATTAGTCTAGGGGTTCACATACTTTTTTCCACCTGCACTGTGAATGTTTACATGGTGTGTTCAATAAAAACATGGCAACATTTCATTCTTTGTGTGTTATTAGTTTAAGCAGACTGTGATTGTCTATTGTTGTGACTTAGATGATGATCAGTATAATCAAAGCTGGAAGTGCACTCAGCTACTCACTAGGGAATCCAGGGTGCTCTTGAAAAAGTCCCAGTACCCAAAAGGATCAAGCTTGAAAAAAGCCCTTGTTGGGGCTGAAACGTTGCTTTGTAGTTCCTGGTCCAAATAAATTGCCTTAAGAATTGGAAACTATTGGAGTGCCTTGATCATTTTCTACAAATTTAGATGATGATCAGATCACATTTTATGAACAATTTGTGCAGAAATCCATATCATTCCAAAGGGTTCACATACTTTTTCTTGCAACTGTACAAGTTGCTATTTAAAGATGAAAGTGACAGGATTTTGACTGCATGTAAAGAGTGAGCGTGACAGTCAGTGAGTCTGTAGGCAGAGTTGACGATAGAGTCACATGGAAATGGACAAACAGGGTTTTTGTTTGAAGGAGGAAAAGAAAAAGCTCTGAGTAGGAGAGATTGAGCATCTAGACATTGGTAACAGAGTCGAGGAGGGAAGGGGAGAGATGAAGAAAGAGAAGTAGATTGAAGTGCAATCAGTATATGTTACTGTGTATACTGTGTACTTGAAATCAAAGGAAGAAATTATTGTGAAGATAATTTATAGAGTGAAAATGTAAAAGAAAATCAATCAATAGGGGCAACCTCAACTGGAAAGAGTGTCCTTAACATGTCAAAAATAAAGCATCCAGGATGAGGTATAACCAGGGCCGGATTAACATAGGGGCTGATGGAGCTGCAGCTCCAGGCCCAGGCCCAGGCCCATGGAATAGGCCCATTAAAAAAAAAAAACACACTACTCTTAGGTTTGCCACCTGACTATTTTTATGGCACAGACGGTATTTGAGGCTGCCTGGCCGTGCCGGTATTGCAGTAATACCGGCAATACAAATGCAGGTAATTTTCTCAGAATAAATGTAAATTACTCTGCAATACCAGCACCGGCCAGTAGGGGTCACTGTGTGTGGAGAGAGGCAGGAATAGGAAGTTACAGAATATCTCTGCCTCTCTCTACTACTCACTAATCCGTGGAGGAGCAGCTACACAGCACAGAGAGTCCATACAGCAGCTCTACAGCTCAGGTAAGTGAGGGATGGAGGGAAAGACAGCAGGGACACATGGGGACACTGAGACACTAGGGGACACATGGGGACACTGAGACACTAGGACACAGACACTAGGGGACACATGGGGACACTGAGACACTAGGGGACACAGACACTAGGGGACACAGACACTAGGGGACACATGGGGACACTGAGACACTAGGGGACATATGGGGACACTGAGACACTAGGGGACACAGACACTAGGGGACACATGATGACACATACACTAGGGGACACTGAGACACTAGGACACAGACACTGGGAGACCTGGGAACACTGAGACACTTGGGGACACTGGAAAACATGGGTACACTGAGACACTAGGGGACACTGAGACACTTGGGGACATATGGGGACACTGAGACACTAGGGGACACAGACCCTCTGGGACACATGGGGACACAGACACTAGGGGACACTGAGACACTAGGACACATGGGGACACAGACACTGGGAGACCTGGAGACACTGGAAAACATGGGGACACTGAGACACTAGGGGACACTGGGACACATGGGGATTCTGAGACACATGGGGACGCTGTGAGACATAGGGACATTGGGAGACACTGAGACATTGGGACACGGTGACACTTTGTCCCCCAGCCAGTGTCCCTAGTGTCTCAGTGTCCCCAAGTCTCCCAGTGTCTATGTCCCATGTCTCTCAGTGTGTCTAGTGTCCCCATGTGTCCCAGTGTCCCCATATCTATGTCCACAACTGTCTCCCAGTCAGTGTCCCTTAGTCTCCCAGTATCCCTTAGTCTCCCAGTGTCCCCTAGTCTCCCAGTGTCTGTGTCCCTAGTGTTTTAGTGTCCCCAAATGTTTCAGTGTCTCCATGTCTCCCAGTGTCTGTGTTCCTAGTGTCTCAGTGTGTCTGGTGTCCCCATGTCTCCCAGTGTCCCTATATGTCCCAGTGTCCACATATCTATGTCCACAACTGTACCCATGTCTCCCAGTGTCCCCAAGTGTCTGTCTCCCAGCCAGTGTCCCCTAGTCTCCCAGTGTCCCCTAGTCTCCCAGTGTCTGTGTTCCCATGTCTTTGTCCCTAGTGTTTTAGTGTCACCAAATGTTTCAGTGTCCCCATGTCTCCCAGTGTCTGTGTCCCTAGTGTCTCAGTGTCCCCATTTCTCCCAGTTTCCCTAAGTGTCTCAGTGTCCCCATGTCTCCCAGTGTCCCCATTTCTCTTTGTCCCCGGGTCTCTCAGTGTCCCCATGTCTCTCAGTGTCCCCAGTATCCTAGTGACATGGGGACACACTGGGTCATTGGGACACTGGGAGAAATGGGGACACAGACACTGGGAGACTAGGGGACTGGGCGACATGGGGACAGTGACACTGATACATGGGGACACTGGGACACTAGGTGACTTGCGAGACTGAGACACAGGGAGACAAGGAGACACTGGGAGCAATCCATCTATACAGCAGACTCAAACTGTGAGTAGTTTGTTGGTGATTTTACAGAATTTTCTCTGATATCACTCCTTGTGATTTACATCATGTGATGTCACGCATAACTAATTAATTATACAAATGATTAAGGCTGGTATTTTTTCCCAAGAAAGGTGGAAACCTTAACTACTCTTCATATACTCTTGCTTAAAGGAGCACTATAGGGTCAGGAACACAATCCTGTATTTCTGACCCTATTATGTTAAAACCACCACCCTGGCCCCTTCTTGCCTCCCTAAATATAGTAAAATATTACTTGTATTCAATTCTGGAGCTGCTGGCTCAGAAGTGGTGGTCTGACAAATTACAATACTTCCCCATAGGATTGTCTGAGACTGTCAACTAGGCAGATCAGGGGCAGAGCCAGCACAAGTCCAACATAGCCCTGGCCAATCAGCATCTCCTCATAAAGATAAATTGAATCAATGCATCTCTATGAGGAAAGTTCAGTGTCTGCATGCAGTGGGTGGAGACACTGAATGGCAGTGCTGCACACTAGGCAGTACTGCTCCAGGAAGCACCTCTAGCAGCCATCTAAGGAGCGGCCAGTGGAGTTATTTTCTCTGAAAAGAAAGTGTTTACTGCAAAAAGCCTGAATGGAATGATTCTACTTACCAGAACAAATACAATAAGCTGTAGTTGTTCTGGTGACTATAGTGTCCCTTTAAGTTTGGAAGCTTAAGAGGGATGCATGGGAACAAAACTTGTGTGGACTGGCTGACATTAAAGTTAGTTTAGGTAATGCAGACGTTGGTCTCTCTAACACTGTGGCATGTCCCCTTTCTTCTACACTCACTACAGACACCTTTTCTCTGTCTCAGACTATATACCAGGAACTTCTGCCTGCTAGTAAGAAGGTAAGGAGACCAGCGAGTGCTATGGGACAGTCCTTAGAAAGAATGGAGTGAGTGCATCATTAGACGCATTTATGTCAAGCTCAGGGCGCTGCCTGCATAGTATGCCCTTAGTTGGACAGCTTGCAGGATTGGCAGGCAGCCTGACATGCATTCACGCCAGGCTGACCTTCCAATTCTTTGGACAAACATGCCCCCTTTTTGGGCATGTTCACCCCTTTTGGCAGGTCTTGTCACGTGATTCGCGCCAGTGGCACACCCTTTTACCCTTCCCATTGACTTCCTGCTTCACTGGACACTGCTGTTAGGGGTTATGGATTTACTTGAAAGATGAAAGCATAAATTAGTGAGAGATTAGCATAGAGTATGTGTTTTCTTATAGCTGCATCCTATGAGTTTCCCTCCAGCACCATCTCCATCAGATACATGATGCTTGGGAGGTATGATTGTTTTAGTGTTTTTGGTCAATAAGATTCTGTAATTAGGCCCATCATAATTGTCAGCACCAGGCCCACTGGGCTCTTAATCCGGCCCTGGGTGTAACCTGTATAAAAACTGATTTATTATGCGTTAAGTTGTTTTGAGTGTCCATTAAAGTCAATCTGAGGACCCATAACAAGTTATCTGTTCTCTCTAGCTGGTTAACTTCTCACCTATTTTTCATTA